CTGTCATAAGCGATATGGGGCATCCTCTCACAACGTCTGACCTATTCCTGTCCTATTACATCAAACATGTTCTCATTTGTAATTTATAAAACCACGTTCTTCCTCTCCTGGCCTTGCAGGCTCTCATTAAGGTTTAAAGTTGTCCAGCTGGTGTCAAGATTATGAGGCCTAACTGCTTTGGTACTGCCTGGCAGTATTTTGGATATGTACAGTACGGATGTTACATCGAACCCAAGCCTTCAGATATTCTGTGAGGTGGTGCACTTTGTTTAAAATATAATGGTTGATCATGTTTAACTTTAGGCATATGGAAATACAGTAAATACTTAATCTGTGCAGATTTTCCTACCACTTAAATACAATGCCTTTCAGTGGGAGATATAAATTTGTGGTTATTATACATGGAGTTTTCGTTCTTTTTTTTTTTGTTAGTGATGCTATGGGAGTCTGTCATTTCTGTAGTTCATTTTGTGTATTTCATTAAAATGGTTAGTCTGATAATCTAAAACCTGAGCATCCCATTAGAGAATTCTAAAATCCACATATCCACACAAAGTCAAGGTCCAAAGAAAATTCATGTAAATCTAAGAACGTGCGTTGTGTAATGTGGGCTCTTCAGGACAGAATATTTCAGTTTTATTCCGTTCCATTTATATTGGCTAATATCTGGAGTGTGTTGCTTTCGGCGGACAGCTATGAGACCCCACTAAAACAGGAATCTTTTCCCCACAAAAGTGTGCATAACCCCTACATTGATGGTGTTGTCATGCTTGTGCTTTTAAACTGGATTTCACATGTTTATTTAGATGTGTAAAACAAAAAATAAATATAGTATTTATAAAGCAAATGATGTATTACTGCTATACAAATTGACCAGACACTATATTTTTGGTGATCAAATATAGGATGATATGCATTTTCACCATGTATGTCTAAATTGATGTGCTGACATATTTTAAAGAGATTTCAGTTTGTACCTAAAATATATTTACCTTGAAATTAGTGTCTGTTCTGTATATTTTGAAATTTTATGTCCCTTGTTAAAATTGCTGTGCATATCCCCGGTGAATGGTTCTTCGTGTCTGGTATTGATCTAGGAAGGGAAGTATGGAAAATTCTGGCCACAGTGAGCCCACGCAGCTGTAGTGTTGGCGGTTTTTGTGCAGGAGCTGAAAATGCAGGAGCTGATGCCACGGTTTCTGCTGAGGGCTGGTTATACAACAGCCTGCGTCAGACAAGCAGACGTGTCTGCTGGGACGTCTAAAAGGTTGCTTGGATGAATCACGCAGAAAGTGTCTTTTGAATACATTTGACACACTAGTGCTTATAATGGAACCCAGCTGCAAGTCTTTAAAAGCTAGATGGCACAGTAGGTGTCCTTGTTTTTTGGGGGAGGGATTCAGTTTTGCATTTTGGCCTTATCTTCCTAGGCAAGATGTGTAATTTTGCTTAGTCGTTAGAATAGGTTGTTCCCATTTTCAGCGCATTATAGGTAAAGATCAGCTTTCACTTGCTAAAAAAACATAGTGGTTTCTTAATTTAGGCAAAATTCTTGCACTATGTAAGAATGTTATAGCTACACTGTTAATGTGAGCTTGCCGCATTAATAAACTAAATTAGACCATTTGCCATAAACGATCAGTTATTTATTTGGGTGTAGTGACTATCTTGTTCCTTGTTGATGCCTTGTTTCTTCAAGCCACTTTGAGGGTACTCTTTAAACTTCTCTGGAGTCGCACACCCACCCTCAGTGCCAAAGGTTCCCAGAGACTCTCCAGCAAAAAGTCTGGAAGTGAACCCCACATCAGTAAATTACTAGCAAACGAACAAACAAAATCGGCCAGATGACCTCCTCTCAAATTTAACCTTTCCAGTGATCTTCCACTGCTTCAGGGTGATACGGTGGCTCTGTGGCTCAGGATTTGTGCCTGTGGCTGGAAGGTTGCCGGTTCGTATCCTGTGGCCGGCAGAGGAATCCTACTCTGTTGGGCCCCTGAGCAAGGCCCCTAACCCCAGCTGCTCCAGGGGCGCCGTATAAGTGGCTGACCCTGTGTTCTGACTCCAAGCTTTTCTCCCTGTCTGTGTGTCTCATGGAGAGCCAGTTGGGGTATGTGAAAAGACAAGTTCCTAATGCAAGAAATTGTATATGGCCAATAAAGTGATCTGATCTTAAGTGTATGCTACTGCATATGACACAATTTCACTTGATCTGTAGTGCATAGAACAGCTTTTACCTTACAGCTATGGTAGAGAAAGTACTGCAGCTGTCTCAAATGCCACAAAACAAACGTGTATGGAGTAAGTCTTCTTTCAGTGCGTCTGTGCAAGTGAATTCTTCATTGCATCCTACTGTAATGTGCTAAAACATGCTGGTCTCTATATATATTATTGCTTTGAGTATTAATGTACTCGGGACTATTCATAAGATGTGGCAAGATCAAATTGGCCACTGTTCTTGTAAACATTAATTTCATTCCATTTTTTAAACGTATTTCCTGCCTTTTATAGGGCTAGTTGGGTTGAAGTGTATCCTCTTGTCTGTAAGCTTTCTTACTTTATTATGATACTCTGCCTGGTTTATACATAGGTGTATAGAAGACAGTGTACAAATACTGTTAGTGCACAAAACATTCTACTCATTAGCCTCCTGTTAAACACTTAGTTTTGAATTTTAAAATGGAGATTCTACCTCAAATTCATATCCTATTCCAAAAAACTTTTTTTCCCCCTAATCGTTAGTTAAAAACATGGCTGCAGACACTGCATTCGCAGCATCATTGTTTTTTCCTCCACCCAGAGACACAATGTGAAGTGTGTGGGCAGGTTTTGTAAAGAGGCAGTGTCACTGTGTCCCAGCTGAATGCCTGTTTTCGCTTCTCAGCCCTAGCAATTTAACAGAAGGCATGAACAGAAGCCACCCTCCCACACATCCTCTATGATTAAATATGCTTTGTGAGTACATCCAAAAGTTGGTTTTTCTGCAAAAACATGCATCTCTTCTGCTAAATTTCTTCTTCGAAACTGCTTTCAAACTTGAACAAGCTTCCTTTGAATAAAAACTGGATGGTAATCAAGAATTGACCAAATTTTCTAGGCTTATGTGTCTTGTTTAGGAGTACAGTTTTAGTGTACTGTTTGAATCCATGAATCACATTGCCTCTACAGTCTTGGCATGGGGAAATGACAGGCAAACACCAAGCTTTCCACCAAGATCTGTCTGAAAGGCTTGTGAAAGGGGATGACGCTTCCCAATGAAAAAACCCCACAGATAGCCAACATTGCATAAGTGAACAAGCCTAATGGATGGTTAATGATGTCTTGTCAAATGAGGACTATCAGGAGGTAGCATTGTGATAAAATGTAAAAAAAAAGTATTAGGGTAATTGGTGAAATACTATGTACAGTTCGTATTTATAAAGAAACATTGCTATTTCTTACATTACCTTGGGTTTTTAAATAATCCCAGAAGTATGCATTTCTGTACAATAGTAAAATCAGTTTGCATATTTAACATCTAATTCGCTAACAGAGCATTCAGACCCAGTGGATTTAGTGAAATCAGAGCTACAAAACTAAATCACAGAAAATGTGCACATTCATTTTGAAGAATCAGTATGAACTTGACACACTATCAACTTAAAAACATGACAGAGTTGGCATGAGGAGCATTACTGATCAGTAACAATCCCGTAGCATTGATGTACAGTATGAACCTGATCAGCTTCCAGACAGGCGGAGTGGTGGAGTATCCCACAGGTCACAAAAGATGGCAGTCTCCTCTTTCAGCAGTTAGCAGTGTCACTGTACCCATGAACAACACCCAAGCATGAAGATCATCAGGTTCCAAATGGGTGAGATGGGTCCAATGGTCTCCTCTCATTTTCTAGTTGGTTAAATTGATCCAACGACCTCATTTATCCATTTCTCGAGAGGAACTAGGGTATTATTTTCAACAGCATGGCTGGGATAGCTTGTTCCCTGCTCCCACAACCCTTTTAGTAAAGAAGTGCCTCCTGCGCTGGGTTTTAAAAGCACTTCCACATACAGTAGTCTCCACTTGTGCCCTTTGAACTCCATTTCATTGTTCATTGAAAAACAAATCTTCTGGGTTGACGTCAGTGCCTTTAACGACTTGAGGGCTTGTATCGGGTCCCCTCATAGTTTTCTTTATTCAAGCTTAAAAAGATTCAGGTCCTTCATCCTGCTAAGTGTAGGGCATTCCATAAGCCCTGGGATGTATAGAATTCTTTAAAACATGGTGACCAAAATTGAACACAATATTGTAAATGAAACCTTACTAGCACATTGTACGTTTTTACCATCCAGTAACATCGCTTGCTTCAAATGTAATCTTCAGATCTTAACATTGTTCGCCATTTTCACTGTTTCTCCACATCGTCTGGATGTGAAGGACATCAACGTAATCGCTGCGAAAAAAGACTTAAGGAGCCCCCTGCTCCATGCAGATGCAGAGCTCCAAGCGTTCTAATGCTGTGCTGAATCTTTCTGCCTGCGATGTTTTGTACAGTAGCTACTGCCATCTGAAAACTATTTCACAGATGGATCTCAGGAAGGCGATGGCAGTGATGATGGTGATGGAAGAGCCAGGGTACCTGATGATCTGCCTTCTATAATGTGACCTGTTCCACATCAAGACAGTTTGCTAGTTTCTTTGGACCAATCCAATTGTTAAAACCATATGTCTCATTCTCCAGGGAATTTCTCTCGCTGATGGACCTGTCACAGAACGATCCTTGTTACTGAGTCATATCCATCTTTGTTCTTGCATCAGTTAAAATACTACTTTTCAAATATGTTTATACGTACTCTTACTCAATTCTTTTTGGCACTTTTAACTCGAATACCAAACACTGTGCACTTGGCGTTTTTATGAATTCACATCTCCGTCTTCAAATGTTTGAGCTCAGAACTTTCTTGATTAAGTTATAGTACAGCTATACTGCTTCATATGACCAATTTGTGTTTGTCATGTTTTGCAGGACTTCTCCTATGATGACTCTAAAGTGGAGTTCAATGTGGATGCCCCGAATGGTGTAGTCATGGAAGGGTATCTCTTTAAGAGGGCCAGCAATGCCTTCAAGACATGGAACAGGTAATTAGTCTTGCTCCTTTGTCCTGCTGAGAGCTGATTTCTCTGAAATGCTCACTCCGAGTATTTTATAGAAGACAGGCCTTGTGCTCATTGTCCTGCTGTGCCCCAATAGGAAATAAGGTATTTTTTAAATGTCAAAATGTGATTCTAGATGTTTAGCATCAGCCTGATGGCTGTAAACATTTTCCAATGTTGTGCTTTGCACAGTGTGCAAATGCCCAATTATAAAGATACCTGCTCATTTTCAATTGGATTTTATCAAATGATGACAATTTTACAGCGTGACCACTCTGTGATTGTTTTTTTTCTGCCCCCAGATTTTCTGAAATTCCATTTGTAGTCAGCTTGGCTCACTGCTCCAAATCACATGCAGAACAACATACAGGAGTCTTCTGACTTGCCCATCCACTGCTAGGCAGTGCTTCTCTTCACATTGCAAACCCAGGGTGCTAATTGCACAATTATGTTGAAATGTAGGAGTACATACAGTATGTTGGCTTTTGCAGCAATATAGAATGAGCTACATTTAAGTAAAACAAAACTAGAAGGTCATACGAGTTTTCTTTCTTGGGATTGTTTGGAAATATGATTCCACTGGCCATCTGCATTTAAGGAATTGCCTAGCAAGGTGTGGCCTGACCATGAAATAGTAAAAGAAAGATTTTTCAGCTGACTGGGTATACCGTTTTTTAACCCAACCCAGATCTCGGTAAATAAAAGGGCAAACACACAGGTTGGGATCCTAGGGTGGCTACTCACAAACCAGTGATCTATGGGCAGTATGTAGACGATACTGTATGAACAAATAGGGCTCTGTGCCTTCACATGTTTAGTTAGTCAGGAACTCCTTATTTATTTGTTTATAATTCAGTTGCTTCTGTTGGGTAAAATGGGTCCAAATGCTTTACAAGGATGAGTACCTCTGATTCTCCTAAACACAGCTTATTGGCTTTGATTTGTGCCTTAGCTCTATTAGTTGAACTGAATTGATCAATTGGGCTCTTAAAAACTAGGTGCCCAAGCATTTGGTATATAGTTCTGGAAGAATGTTTCAGGGGGAAAAAGCAAACAAAAACACTTTTGTTTTGTTCTAGAACTGCATTGCAGTATTTAAGTTGATGAACCAGTGTGCAGATTGTGTTTTTTGTGGCCCATTTACACTTTGGATATTGTTTTGTGTGGCGTCTTGGAGTCTGAATATGATTCATTATCACGTAAGTGGCTTTTTTCAGCTACTAGTGGAACGTGTGTGTCTGCAGCATTGATCTGGGCTGTCAAAGATCAGATCTGAACATCATTATTGCCTACTGTATCTTCCATTCCTAGTGAAAGAAACCTTGACAGTGATGGATGTGAACCCTTCTTGTGTTAAATGAATCATCAGAAATGTCTCCACAGAAAATAATTTTAGAGCTGCCTTCCCTTGAGAGTGCCACATGGGCATGGGGCACACCTCTGTCTTGAAAATGATATCTGGTCCTTTTTTTCTTTTGTAGGAGGTGGTTCTCAATACAAAACAGTCAACTGGTATACCAGAAGAAGCTGAAGGCAAGTGCATTGTTATTGTGTTCTGCTATACATTTCCAGGCAGTTTATAAGTATTGGTCCAGTAGACTCTTCTTCTACAGGATCTTGAAAGGAGCTTGATCTTTAAAGCACATGTTGGAGCTTTACAAATTGAGCATTAGCATCCCATATTTTTTCAATTTTGACATTTTGTTTCTTAAAATCATAAATTACAAGTTCACCGCACTCACTTTCAAGCTCATGGATTGCACAGACAGATGTATAGTGACAGATAGAGTTCCATCAGGAATGTTCTCCGTCTGACAATGCTCACAGCTCCTGGAGAAAATCAACAGGAGCTGCTGGAGACCGCACTGCATCAAAGTTAATCTGACCCTGTGAGTGACATTAGACAGCAGCCTCAGGAACACACACTCTTGTAGGTTGTTCTGAAAGTTACTGCTCCCAAGTTTAAAACGTATTGGTTTCTGAACTTGCCTAGGTGTGAACAATGTGGAATTCACATCCATTCCAAATGGTTGTTAGAACTTCGTAAACCATAGTTCCTAAATTTGGTTATTAGGACATTTTAGATAACTGCAGCTGAAGACGTATCCAGTTGGAATTGTGGCTCCAACCTCAAGGAGAGAAGAACTGGCTTGTTGTTGAATCTGGGTAGGTCTCCTGATGACCTGTGTAAAAACGGGGATTGTCAGTGGTCCACCAGCCAGTGGCAGCCAGCTGGAGAGCTGACTGCAGCCTCTCCCATGCAAGTTAATGGGTCTTTTGTCTGGAATGATTTAATGTTTCCTCTTTTCACATCATGAGCTGAAATCTAAATTGGTGATTTTTGTGAAGGCTAGAAATTCCAAACAATCACAGTTAAGTGCCAGTAAAAAGACAAAGCTTTTGTTGCAAAGATGATGACCTTTGCTCCTGATCTTATCTACAGGCTGCCTTGGGTTGTTTTTTAAGTTTTTCATCTTTCCAATTAACCCTCTATTGCGTATATCTCGTGTATAAGTAGGCTAATTATTTTATGCCATACGTTTCTAGCTGCTAGAAAGTTGTTACGAGCTCTCACAACTGGGGTCTGCAATTGATCTTAATAAACATATGAGATCTGAAAATAGTTTATTAAAAAAAGCTGGGATTTGTCAATAGAGAATGAAGTTCAGCAACTGGGAAGTGAGTGGAAACAAAATCCAGCATATTTTGTGGCTTTTCAGGGCTGGACTTGGGGATCCTATATGAGGTCACTCATGCCAAATATTCATGTATCTTGAGCTCTGCGACTGTTCTGGCTGCCTGTTGGAGTGACAACCCTGTGATTTGTTTGGAACAGGATGCCCTTACAGTGGTGGTTGAAGACTTGAGACTGTGCTCAGTCAAGCCTTGTGAGGATATCGAGAGGAGGTTCTGCTTCGAGGTCGTCTCCCCAACAAAGTAAGGCCAGATCCTTCAGACACAATGTGGAAGAAGCTTCCATAAAATGGTCTATCAGAAAACCTTTAGGACATAAGGAAATACACTGTTGATTGTAAGGCAGAGACATTTGTTCTCATGCAGGACATGAAAATTGTCATGCAGATAGTCATGTTTACACTTTTTCTATTGAGCAAAGCTTTTCTGTTAAGGATAACATAGCTACTGCTATGCAAAATCTAATTGCTCTTGATTGCTGTTCACACACAGGAGCTGCGTTCTTCAAGCGGAGTCCGAGAAGCTGCGCCAAGCTTGGATTCAGGCGGTGCAGGCCAGCATCGCGTCCGCCTACAGAGAGAGCCCAGATAACTACTATGTGGAGGTGATTTACTGTGAAGGCACTCGCGGTACTTTAGACCACTACACTGTCATTTCATGCACACCAATGGCGAAAAATTCAGCTTCTACTTTAAGATAAGATCTTATGCTTTAAATGTTTTTCCTGCTGAAAGGGAGTCATACTGTGGAGAGGTCAAATAGTTTAACATGACCATGGACACTGTCCTTCAATTATCTACATAATCTGCAGATGTGGGTTAAGGCTTGTATAAGCCCTGAGAAAAACAGGAGCAACACTGAGCTGTTAGAAAGTCAGTTATGAGACTCGAATCTGCACTTTGTCACTGCATGTACCCTTGGAAATATCAGTCTGGAGAAGTGTGAAATTGTCCACTTGGCATGCAGATTGTTTTAGAGCATTGTCATCACCTTGTGTGGTTATTCCTTTGGCCAAAAACACTCACGCTGTAGTGAACTCTATGGTTGTCTCAGACTGGCCTCATTTTACCAGTATGACTGTAAACATTTCAACATTTAGACCAACAGTGGAATTAATCAGCTTGTTGAACTGAAGGGTAGAAAGGCTAGTGTTAGGTACTATCACCTGCTAGATAGTATCACGGGACAACTGTTCAACAGGACCAGGAAAAAATGCCCAATACCTTGTGGCAGCATATCTAGGTGCCATCTATATCCTGAGCTGTCTTAACACCAACACCACCACCACCACCAACAACAACAACATAATTCCTCACACTTACTTATATAGCGGTTTTCTGGACACTCCACTCAAAGCGCTTTGCAGGTAATGGGGACTCTCCTCCACCACCACCAGTGTGCAGCACCACCTAGATGATGCAATGGCAGCCAGAGTGCACCAGTACACTCGCCACACAACTCTCAGTGGGGAGGTGAGCAGAGTGATGAAGCCAGAGATGGGGATTATTAGGAGGCCATGATTGGTAAAGGCCAGGGGGAAATTGTCAGTATCAGGTTTGCGGGTACTGGGGACTCTCCACCACCACCAGTGTGCAGCCCTCACCTAGATGATGTGACGGCAGTCAAAGTGCGCCAGTACGCTCTACACACATCAGCTCTCCGTGCAGAGAGTGATGGAGCCAGTTCGTAGACGCTTTCCCAGAGCTCCTATAGCCGCTTAACCGCACCCCCCTGTGACCCTGCTCTTGTCCTCAGAGGCTGGACCGCACTGCCTCCCCCTCTACCAGCAGCATAGACTCGGCCAGCGAGTCGCGGGAGCGCAGCGTCAAGGGGGAGAGCATCCTCCAGCGCGTGCAGACCATCCCCGGCAACGAGCTGTGCTGTGACTGCGGCCAGGCGGACCCCCGCTGGGCCAGCATCAACCTCGGCATCCTGCTGTGCATCGAGTGCTCGGGCATCCACAGGTAGGCTGCACCCCGGCTCGTGCTGATCACCCGCTGCTCTGAGCGCGCCAGCTGGAGCCCCTGTTAAATAGCTGCCTGTCCAGCTCCAGCGCGTGCAGCTGAATCATCGCCCGCGGTCCGTCAGGAACGGTGAAATCCGTGCTTCTGCCGCTCCTGCCAGGCAGTTCTCCGATGGAAAGGTAGCCCCCCCGCTCAAGTGCGTAGCCCTCCCTCCAGCCCTTTCAAGCTTGCGCTGACTCAGGATAATGGACCTTGCTCTTAAATTGTCTTGTCATGCCAAAAGCACCTCTGGAGGTTTTAGTGGTCTGAGTGTTTAATTATTTAGCCATTGTTGCAGAGGGCTGTTATTTCTTAGGTTATTAAAAATGCAAGACGCTTCAGGGAAGAGGAGGTCCATCTTCTTTGTCTGTTGGTTAGTAGTTTATTGCTCCAGGAGTCTTATTGAAATGCTTCATAACCCAGTGAATCAGCTCACACAACATTGCCAGGTGGTTTGGCTCAATCACCTACAGCTGATTGTGTAAAGAATTCCCTCCCTGTTTTATGCAAAGTAACAAGACTAGCCCTTTGGGTCATGTAGATCAATTCCAGGATATTAACAGAGGTACCTGTCCTCCGTGCAAGAAATGGTTATTTTAGAATCTGAATGTGATTTACCTTTTACTCAGTTGTCGTTCTGGCTTTTCTTCCAGTACATTAACAGAGGTACCTGTCCTCCGTGTAAGAAATGGTTATTTTAGAATCTGAATGTGATTTACCTTTTACTCAGTTGTCGTTCTGGCTTTTCTTCCAGTACAGCAGTCTCCCATGTGCACAGTCAGTACCAGAATCGTTTGTTATCGGTGCTTTATTTAGTTTTGTTAGGAATGTTTGAACAAAGTCCACACCAGATTGAAGAACAGACCCCGGGAAACCCCAAAACATTTAAGTGATTCCTTACATTTGTTGAAGATTGCTGCTTGCACGTAATGATTCATTTTTGGAGGAGATGTTTAGAATCGGACATCTTGTTTTATACGTCATCCCCTAGTGCTGAAATAATCAGGAAAGCTTTAGTGAGTTGTGGAGTGGAAAGGGGCTCAAATACTTTGCCCTGTGAGGTGCATGCTTGTCGGAGCTATCTGAACGTTTGGAAGGAATTTTGAATTTGGAGTCCCAAGGTGCCTACTACCATTTCATTGGTTTTGAGTAGTAACCTTTCTCTCACCGATAACATTAACAGATGCTCAGGAAGTTGCAGGGGTAACTGCTTTGTGTGAAGCTGAGTATACCCTAGCAGCTGCTGCCAGTGGGGCAGTTTGACCAATCCCAAGATCACACCAGTGACTTCTGGGATTGGCACAGCAGGTTTCAATCTGCATTCAGTGTCTTTCCTGCCCGTCACCTGGGGAACCCTTGAAAAGATTTGGTTTCTAAAAGGAAGTAGTATATTTCAGTGCCCATTATAGTGTGGCCGATAGATGTCCGAGAATATTTTTTAAAGGCTGCTCATCTGTGTTCTGATTAAACTCTGAAAGACATTTAGTCAGATTGGGTCACATTCAATGCAGTTCTTCAAAGGGAGAGAGATGCCATCACTTACTCATCAGCCCAGGGGTTACAAGTCTATGGGATAGTGACATCCGAGAGAGGCAGAGACTGTTTGAGACTTCAGCAGTGTTTTGAAAGGATTAAAAATACTTTGTGGGCTTAAAGATCAGAGGAACAAGATAATTGACTGGCAGAAGCAGCAAACCCATCCATTTAACCTATGCTAACATACTGTGGGCTATAATTCAGATGCACACTTTGTTATTGGAAGGGTAGCTATTTAAAAGTAGTCCCAGTTAGAGCTCTCAGAGAAGCATGCATCATCTGCACTAAGCAATTATCATCGCTTATGTAATCACAACTTTAGCAGCCTAAACAGCCTGATGAATATTCATGACTTCCCTCACCACAGCCTTCTCACACTGGGTTTCAGAATGGGTTTTCAGAAAGAATATATTTTGATGGTTGCATATTTTTGGGGGGCGGGTTCTGTCATTGTCAGGATATTGAACATGGACATGGGTTTCATGCATAATATTTCAATTTACATGAAGGTGGCACCAAACAGTCCAATTCAAAAGACTGAGACCTTGGTGTGTAAGAGTCTAATTGATTTTTTTTCCTTAAAAATATTTAAAGTCGTTTAAGGTACAGTTGTATGACTAAGCTGTTGAAAGAAGCAGATATTATGCTATTTCTCTGTAGGCTACGGGATTCTATTATTTTGGCAGAGGTTCCAAAATGTGACTCGGTAGTTGATTGCATTTTTTAGATCTTTACGTTCCTTCACACTCAAGCAAATGAAACATCTTTGTGGTTTCGTTCCTCCTCCTCCTTATGTGACAGCTAATGCTGACAGTGCCCAAGCACTTTGTTGTGTGCTGCTATGCTTGTGTCTCGGGATTGGATATTATAGTTCTAATTTCATAGATGTTTGACTCATTGGGTGTTTTCTAAGCCACGGGCTCTTGTGTATCAGATGGCACCATGTGCAGGACCTTTCGTGCTCCCTACCTTATCTCAACACCTTTCCGTAAAGAGAGGTGGAATTAATTGGATCTCCATGTACTTTTGTTAATACTTCATTAATCCAGTTTATACAGTTAGCCTTCCACATCTGAAATCTGCTATACATTCTGAGTCTGACAAAGGTGCCTATTTAAGAATCATTTCTGTGACACTTCTGTCTCTATTCTATCTTCTTCTGTCTTGTTATTCAGGAGTTTGGGGGTTCATTGCTCCAAGGTCCGGTCTCTGACTCTGGACTCCTGGGAACCGGAGTTATTGAAGGTAGGTGTTCCCCCTAATTTCTGGTTTCATTTTCTGTTCTCAGATGGCTGAACAGACTTTGCATTTGCTTCCAACTCTTCCTCTCAGTCCACTCTTATTCCAATCTGGACTGAGCAGTTCCTTTCTGCAATGGGCAGTGTGTTTAGGTTTCTGCAGTACTTTGTGGTGAACTGATAATCTTCTCTGTGGTTATTCGTGCCAAGAATAGGTAACCTTTAACCACTAAAACATGTTGAGGAAATTTAGTGGATGGTTAGTTTTTGTTTGTACTGATGTCTCAGTGGAAGCAGCAATGAATGCCGTCAATAAAGTAAACCGTATTAAAAGTAAATTGTCATCCATAGTAACAGCTGCAGATATAATCCACACTGGGTGTGTTGAAATTATTCACCATAGGACAAAACTGAGCTTTTTTTGGTAAATGCATCTTTTAGACTGTGGAGTTTCCGGCTACAGTGACTCTTGAATATGCACAGGAGGGGAAAGGCTTTTGGTGTAGAACTGGCTGGCCTTCTGTTTTGAAGTCGATCTTTCTCCCCCCTTGCAGTTAATGTGTGAGCTGGGCAACAGCACCGTCAACCAGATCTACGAAGGCGCGTGTGAAGAGCTTGGCGTGAAAAAGCCTGGACCCTCAAGCTCAAGGTGAGCTTGAACAGCGGGACAGGGGTTCGGACGCGGCTCTGCTAACCGATGAAACAAGTTCATTGGCAGCTGGGAAAACAGGGAACAGGAGTAGTGAAAGGTTGTTCATTTTGACCTGGTGTCTAAAAGGCGTAAAAAAAATGTACTGTATATCCCTGGGGAGGATCTGGCTGTAAGTATTCTATCCCGGTAGAGGTCAAATCTGTTTCAGGTTCTTGGTTTCACATCGCCAGGCGGTCCTTGAAGTTCTACAGCTTTTTAAGGTGTTCCTATGACAAGTGTTTTTGCCTCCTTTCATAACCACCTTTTTTCGCGATCTGTTTCCCGTCTGTCAAGTATGGATCGGCGTGCTGGTGGCAGAACAGGGCCGGGGTGACCCGAATCGGTCCTCATTCGCTCTTCCTTTTTTCCCCCGATTTGGGTTCCCAGGCAGGAGAAGGAGGCCTGGATCAAGGCCAAGTACGTGGAGAAGAAGTTCCTGAAGAAGCTGGCGAGCGGCGGGGAGGCCCTGGCGGACGGCGAGCGCAAGGGGCGCCAGTGGCACGCGAAGAAGTGCCAGAGGCGCAACAGCTCCACGAAGGCGCCGAAGACCCGGCGGAAATACCGCCAGGACGCGGGAAGCGCTTCCCCGGCCACCCTGTCTTCAGGTACGGCCTTTTCCCAGCGCAGGCCGCAGGACGACTGCGGCACCGGCGCGTGGAGCGTAGTGGTTAGGACCCCGGACGCCCAGCCCGAGGGTCGCGGGTTCAAATCCTGGCCGAGACACAGCCGCCGTGCCTTCGAGCAAGCAACTTCATTCAAAATGCAAGAGCTTGTTCTTTGTTGAAATATGTGACGTAAAATAATAATGCTCTTTAAAACTCTAAACTCTAATTTGGGTTGGGTGGAAGGTGGGCAGCTCTGTGGTACAGTGGTCAACATTACTGCCTCCTGGGTTCAGTTCCGGATCTGGGGTTCTGGCTGGGTGGGGTTTGCATGTCCCCCCCTCCCCCCACGTTTGCATGGGGTCCCTCCCCCACAATCCAAAGACAGCCTGGTTAATTGGCCCTGGTGTGAGTGTGTGCCTGTTTGTGTTTGATCCCCTGCGATGGACAGGGATAGAATCTGGCTCCCTCATGACAAAACTAATAAGTGGTTTTGTTTCCTTACCGTTTCCAGCAGTGTTGTATCGGCTTGAATTGGGTAGAGCAAAGCCTTATTAATGGTGCCTACGAGAGCGGAAATAAAGCAGCACTGGGTTAACAGCCTTCAGTCCCACTTCTATAAGTGGTTCCTCTGAGGGGAGCCCAAAGGCTGCGCTAAGAAATTCCGACTCCGACTTTTATGTCTTCTAATTGGGAAGCCATGCTTCATTAATTTCTCAGATTCCCACCAGCCACGCTGGCAGCTCCAGAGGATGCACAATGGGTACTTTATTGTGATCTCCACCCAAAAGCTACAGAGTTGTTTGTGATAAGTCATTACTTAAGCTTACTTGATTCTCCTGTTGTATTAGACAATCAAATGACGAGAAGAGGAGGCCCTCCAGCCCATCGTGGGCATGCATTTGCTGGCGTCTTCTATTGGTTTGTTTTGCTGATGCTGTTATCCAAAGCAACTTACTGACATTCCAGTTCCCTTTGTTTTTACCTGCAGGGGTATCGGGAATCAATCTCTTCTAGTCTCCCATAGCGGCTTTCAGTGCAGAGCATTTTCAAGGCACAGCAGGGTTTGAGCAGTCTGTAAAGAGTAGAGGAGTTCATTGCCATATCTACACGTGCATTGGAATTCTTAATTGCGCTGATCTCTCAGGACACACACAGTACAACAGACAACACCACAGAATGTGCACGACAGGAACAATCAATATATTGTGGAAAAATAAAGAAATATGTAGTAGTGAGACTGAGAGAAAGAAAAGGGTAACCATGTAAAAAGTGTGGAGTGCAGATGTGTGTTGAGTCTGAGGCCCTGCAGTGAGCTGTTGAGGATGCGCACTGCAGTGGGATAGAAGCTGTTCTTGAGTCTAGTGGTCTGTGCTTTAATAGAACGATATAGTTTGCCAGAGCGTAAGGGGGAGAACAGTTTGTGGGCAGGATGGCTGAGATCCTGAATGATTGATTGGGCTTTATTGCGACAGCAGAGGGTGTGGATCTCACCGATTGATGGTGAATCACATCCTATGATCCTCTGAGCCGTTGCCACAACCCTTTGTAGTGCGTCTCTGTCAGGCGTGGTAGTACTGCTGTACCACACAGTGATGCCACTTGTGAGGACTGAAGTACTGAGTGTCCTAGCAGTTACCTACAATAAGTGTAAATTCGAACCCGTGACCACCTGCACAAGGGTCAGGGGCACTAACCACTGCTTCTCCCTGTTACTCATTACAAGGCTTGGTCTAAAACTCTCCAGGAAAGGAAACTTCCAGAAGCACCCTCATGCATCAACATGCAGTGTGGATTGATATTTGTTTTGTCGTGTCCTGCACCGCTTACTTTAATTTCTTATTGCACGGTTATCCTTTTCTACAAGAAACCTTTTTTTATTTTCCCCTGGTCTCAATATTGGCAAACCGCTGATGGTTTTTTACTCGTCTGCACTTGTGCCTCTCAGCAGCCGCTGCTCTGGAGAGGAAGTTCCGCAGGGACTCGCTGTTCTGTCCTGACGAACTGGACTCTCTCTTCTCCTACTTCGACACCGGCTCTGGGCCTCGCAGTAAGTGCTCTCTGCCCCATCACTGTCTCCGCCTTCTGCTCTGCGTGAC